GTGTGTGTGTGTGTGTTTGCGTACAAATTTGATGGACTAAGGAAGTGCTTGGATATTCTACGTGTTGGTCAGCGTCAGGGTCGTCCTACGTGTGTATCAGAAGTGTCGTACCTTCACATGCCCTGATGAAATATATTTGTACCCTTCTTGTACCTGCGTATACATCTGTATGCGTATTCATTCGTGTACATACACGTATTCAATTTTCAAAAGCAAACCCCCCATTCAAACTGCAGGTGTCCGTGTACAATAAAGCTCGCACAATCTCATTGGACGATTTTAACCACGTGGCTACCTCGTTAGGAAATGGCTGTGGAGTGGTACCTCCTGCGGTAGCGCGGCACTATCGAACTATGAGCACGTGCTTACAATCTATTAATAGATCACTCCGTGCCGAAAACACCGAGTTGTTGGGGTATGTTCTTGATGAGCTGTGCGTGTGCGAACTGGCTGAAATGTTCTTCTTTGAAACCAATGTGTTGGATGATGTGTTGTCGCGATAGTTACAATATATATATATATATATATATATATGTGTGTGTGTGTGTGTATATATATATATATGTATATTACATACACGCATGCATATAAAGATACATACACATATATACACAGAAATCTTTCGTAGGTATGTAATAAGGTCTATCAAATGTGGTGTAGAGCATGGGTGAGATCAAACGCCCGAATCTGCAGAGTTTGAGGATGTTTGAGTATATGCATTGTATTGGTATTGGTCTGACTGATGCACGTTCATTTATCATTTAGGTATGCTACAGTACAGCGAAACACTCTGCAGTAGGCATTCTCGAATACATAATGTGTTATGAAACCCCAATACGCATACTGGGCTACACATAGTACGGAAAGCTCGGTGGGGCCAAATCGTACCATAGTATAAGATATACCACTACACCGAGAGTATGCACTACTAGTTGTATTCGGATAAGCCGCAACATCTCTTTATAATACGCTGTTTACACAGGTCAATAGGATAACCTACCATGCAATACGTTAGATCACATTGTAGGGATAGCTGTACTTGTCTGAACTATAAACGAATATATATAATTTACCACTATACAGAGAGTATGGATTACGTGGCATAGTAGGATAAGCCGTAGCATCACTTATAATACGCTGTTTAAACAGGTCAATATGATACCATACCATGCAATACTTTATTTAGATCACATTGTAGGGACAGCTGTACTTATCTGAGCTACAATGGGCGCTGCGTGCCCAGGGGAAATGGGAATGTTATTGATACATACTTCTAGGTATCATACACCTCATGCACACTGATATGCTGTCACAATTTTCAATTTGTTGGGTATGTATTTGTATACATACAAATAACGAGAGAACAATGCATACCATCCCCATACAGAGATTTTCAGATGTTCGCCTGTGTTCGGTATAAATTTGTATACATACTAACAACCACCCATCACCATACAGAGATGTTCGCCTGTGCGTGAGCCATATCCAATCCTGCATGCTTGGCTTAGCGGAGAGTGTGCGTGTTATTGAACCTCTCTATTTGGTCGTGGACGATTTATGCGCAAAGGAACGAACACTGCTTGAACAGAAACAGCGTCTGGTTGATCAGGAGGCAGAGAGCGCCACCGAAGACACAACAGACGACCGGGGGGAGGGTGGGGAAGTGTGAAATTCTTTGCTGTTTATATATGTATAAAGATTTCTGTATATA